ATTTTTTATATTATTTTTTTTTTGTGTGTAACATTCTTGAGTTGTGATAAATTTGACTTTTAAATTTTGTTTTTTATTAAATACTTAATTGGCAACATCTTAAACTTTTTTAAACGCCAGTTTTTTAGAAAAATCTGGGTGTCCGGTTAATTTTGCCAGTGCATATATATATATATATATATATATATATATATATATATATATATATATGTATATATATATATATATATATATATATATGTATATATATATATATATATATATATATATATATATATATATATATATTATATATATATATATATATGTATATATATATATATATATATATATATATATATATATATATATATATGTATATATATATATATATATATATATCCAAATATTGTTCTGAAGCTAATTTCTTGTGGCATTGTAAAGTAATTATTATTTAAATGGGAATAAGCCACAATTAGCAAAAAAAGTAAATTTACGTTAACCTTTAATTGTGGCTTATTTCCATTTAAATAATAATTACTTTATATAACTAATTACTATTATATATAGGTGATTAGAATATCTTTACTCATTAAATCTGCTATAATATACATTTTCGACAGTGTAAACATTCTTAGTTATATAATGCCCCTCTTAAGATTGTTTCAAAATAATGTTATTGTATGATAGGTACTTTACAAAAGGGGGAATGTTAGTAGTTACGGAAGATCAATCAAATTATAAATGATATCCAAATTAATTTCCAATTGTCTAAAATATTCAAATCAAACAACTTATATGACATAAGAAAACAAGTAAGACAAGGTCAATAAGAATTAAGGATTGCTACGGAAGCCATATTGAAAGAAAAGCGTCAGAAGAAAGCCAAATTACAAAAATATACATCAAGAAAACCCCTTTAAAACGAAACAGACGTACACGATATGTAGCACATTTATCAAAAGAATTTGGGCGGTCCCAAACAACTATTTGGTGAAGATGTTATATAGAAGGGCTTAATGTGAAACAATGACAAGCCACACATGAGTTCAAAAAGAGTTAGTGCTATGCTCGGTTAAAGTAATAGTATAACAAGCCACCAAAAATTTATTTCAGCCCTTCGTTAATAGATGGGGCGACAAACCTATGATAACAGTGTTGCATAGATCTAGTTTGTCTTAGTATCTACTCGACATAATGACAAGCCACATCAAAATGGCGAATATGGGCGGAAGCGATGCGGATGTTTCTGTGAGTTCCGACGATTCTAGCGAGAAAAATACTAAAGTTCAGTCGACATTCGATGACAGTGACCGTGATCCTGACTATGTACAATCTAGAAGTGACTCAAGTGATGAAAATACAGCGGTATGTAATTTTTTTGTTAAATGTGGCTTGTCACATTATTACCATTCAAGATTAAAGTATGATTGTTGTGGCTTGTGATATGGCTTGTTATATTATTGCATTTTGTTGTAGGATAATGAACAAGGTCCGTCAAGAAAAAGGACAAAACCAAACACACCCGACAAAACCCCAACAAGTCGATGGAGACAAAGAAATGAACACTGTTATTCAAGATCAAAAAGAAAAATTCGACGAAATTTAGGACAACCATATGTAAGCGACAAAACAAAAAAATGTGCCTGGTCGAGAATTGGGACCGCCTTGCAGTTGCACTAAGAAGTGTAGGGAAAAGCTTCAGGGCCACGAGAGCAATATTTTTAACGAGTTTTGGAACCTTGGTTCATGGGAGTTACAAAATAGCTACTTATTCGGATGTATATATATTGTTAAGAAGAAAAGGTCCTACCAAAAGAAGCAAAAACATCAAGAATCGCATAGAAAGAGCAATGCAGTCTACTCCATTAATGTTAATGGTGAAACTACACGTGTCTGTAAAACAGAATTTTTAAATATCCATGGACTTCAAGCTTCTAAGAGCAGAGTAAATAACATTGTTCGCAAGAAGATAGAAGGAAATCTAGTGCCAGAAAGAGACAACAGAGGAAAGCATACAAACCGTGTGAACAAAATATCTGATTCGGAATTACTAAGTGTTAAAAACCACATACACTCGATTCCAAAGTATCAATGTCACTACAGTCGACAAGAGAATATGAATAAAGTTTATCTGGACCATAACATGAGTATAGCCAGTCTCTATTCGGATCGATATGTCCCTTGGTGTACAGAAGAGGGAATTAAACCAGTTAAGGAGCATACTTACCGTAAGATATTTTGTACAGAGTATAATATTGGATTTAAGCTGCCAAAATCAGACACTTGTAAGATATGCGACGAAATTAATATCCAAATAGAGTGAGCAAAATCAGAAAAAAAAAAGATTATAGCGAATTAACAACAAGACTTAACTTGCACAAGTGTAAGGCTCAGGCAATGCAACAATTACTGAAGAGCGAAACAGCCCGGTCAAAAATTATTGATAAGAAGATATGTGTTATATCGTTTGACTTGCAGCAAGCCTTACCGATTCCCAAATTAACCACTGGTCCTGAATTTTATTGCAGGAAAATCTGGATGTATAATCTAGGAATCCATGATTGTACGGAAGACGCTGGTTATGTTTGTCTGGACGGAAAACATTGCAAAAAGAGGAAGTGATGAAATTGCATCAATACTCATAAAATTTGTAAGCTCAAAGATAGGTGAAGTAGAACATCTCGTTTTCTTCACGGATAATTGTCCCGGGCAAAACAAAAACTGGCTTTTAATGTCTTTATGGTTCCAGCTAGTGAAGGAACAAAAGTTTAAGTCTATTACACACCATTTTTTAGTCAGCGGACACACTCACCTTCCCTCCGACAGGGATTTTGCTCTTATAGAAAAACGACATAGAAAGTATGCTCCGCTTGTGTACTCTCCTGAAGAGTGGCATAAAATTATAAAAGAATCTAATAAAAAGAAGCCCTTCTACTTAACTGTTATGAAGCAGGAAGATTTCCTCAATGTACAACCACTCTTAGAGAACATTAAAAAGAGTACTCGCACTGATGACCTGCAGCCTTTGGATTTTTCCAATGTTGTTTCCTCTTTATTCAAGAGTGATAACACAAAAGTATTTTACGTTAAGCATTCTGTAAATGGTACCTACAACCCTGTTACTGTTGTCAAGAAGGGACGTCCAAATGTGCTTACTGTATCTGCTTTACAACAGAAGTATATTGAGTCCATTCGGATTGCAAAAAAGAAAATCGAAAATGTGAGGTCATTATTACCCTACATACCTACAGTGTATCATCCCTTCTACAATAGTTTACGAGAGGATGTCAGTCCTGATGTTGCTGATGAGGTCGCCAAGCTCGTTGATTAAATAAGATTTTGGGTATATATTATTAATGTAATAATGTGACAAATTTTTTTTTTTTTTAATAAAGATCGTTTTTTTCTCAAGTTTGGAGTAATTTTATTAATATTGTTGTAACTATAACAACAAAAGTTGTTACTGGGTTTTTTAATATTATTTTTAACATTCAAAGTCAAATATCTCACTTTTACCTTTTTGAGGCTTGTCATTGTTTCACGTTAAGCTCTTCATTCTGATTATTATTGCCACTGATTAAGGCTAAAACAGACCATAGGCACATTGTAATTCCGGGCCTATTTTTAAATCATGACACATACTTTGCGTTTGGTATTTTGGTTTCAAAGCATAAAAGTATGTAAGTCCTATAGATCTACATACTATTATGCTTTCAAGAAAAAAATAATATACATGTACAAATATTAAATAATCATATTGTACTAAATATTTTTAAAACCGACAATTAGTTCGACATAATTAATATAGTTATTAACTCTTTTCTATATAAAACAACGATAAACTATTTAATTTTTGTTGGTCTAATGTGGATCCTAAAAAAAATTATTCTGACCATTACTGAGAATGATCTGTCACCACTTGCATTGGTTATTAAAAGGGTTATCAATTTTGAACAGTTTTTCTGTCACAATATCACGTTTTTCTGTTAAATAAAAATAAAAAACCCAATTTTCGGGCCCCCTAGAAAGTGCCTAGGTCTTAGTCCGCCCCTGCATTACTACATTTTTAAAATAATCTTCAGTCTGTACCTGTAAAAAACATTTATCGCGTGGGTAATACACACATGTTTATATTATATATTTTTTTCAATGTGCAATCAGATAAGAATGAAAATATTTCGAATTTATCACTATGTAAACAAATAAAAGTGTACTATATAATTACAATTTACTACAGTAATCGTATTAACAACTCATTTTATCTTCCAGGTAACAGGTGTAAAATAATATCGTGTTGATAAAAAAACAGTATCTTCATGCAATATCCTACTGGAAAACAAAAAACCACAACAAAGTTGTATTCGGAGATATCAAAACAGGTTTTACATAGGTAGTTAATCCCATGCCGGTTTTATACAAGGAAGAATCTAGGTTCACAGTGTAACTAACTGTCGACAATTCGCACGTTACGGGACACGCAAGTTTATGTAAAATATTTTATATGGGATTAAACCACAATGATTTTAGTTAATGAGAATTTCATTTTACATTTGCTGTAACGTTTGTATTAATCTCATATAAAATAATATTTACATTTACATGCTATTCAGGAAACCTCTTTAAACTCGTTGATTATTGTCGTCGTTTTTTAATGTTTATTAGCACGAAATAATAAGTTTTCCAGATAGTGTAGTTTAATTATGGTAGAAAAATGTGATGGTCCTTTTAGTATCATAAAATAAACTTATTATATGACATGAAATGTGAAATGGGAGATTAATTAATAAATTTTATAAGCTTGGCCGATGTCAACAATGTGTATGCATAAGATCTAAATCATTTAGCGGAATCAAATAAAACGCCTACATTTATTTAATCCGTTCGATTTTTGCGGTGCCTAATATAATTAAGGTTTTTAAAAAATGTTTAACTGTGTTAATTCAATATTATCTAAAAATTAAACGTAACTTGCTTTTTTACTACTTAACCTCTAAAAATAAAAAAAGTGTGCGCCTTACCTGTATATTCTAAGACAATCAGCAGGCGTAGAAAAAATAAAAATAACAAACAAAGCAAACAAAATAAGAACTAAACTAAAATTTAACACATACAAAAACGGAACATAACTGTCACTAAACACAGATTCAGTGTTTCAAACCAACCAAATCAAAACAAAAGTAGGACAAATCAATTGTAACGTAAGATGCTTGTGGTGGTTTTATGCACAACACACTTCTATTAAAGACATTTCAGTGAGAACAAGGTGTCAAAAACACGTTTTACTCTAAAATGTTTACAAACAACACGACTATTACAGTAAAAGTAAAACGATACAACATCGACAAACAACCTAACCGGCAGACTGAATTCAACTATCGGAATGAGTCATTTCGAAGAGCTGCGCATACCGCCATTGGAGAGTGGTATTACCAGTGGCGACGTTGCCAGATCCTGTTGGGTTAGAGAGTAATTCCTGAAAATTTATTTGAGTGAATATTTATAGAGGGAATTAGAGGGAAGTACAATATATATATATATATATATATATATATATATATATATATATATATATATATATATATATATATTTATATATATATATTTATATATATATTTATATATATATATATATATATTTATATTTATATTTATATATATATATATATTTATTTACATATATATATATATATATATATATATATATCTATATATATATATATATATATATATATATATATATATATATATATATATACATATATAAATTAAGGATCACTCGAAGAGTGGTGGGGATTTTCGGTCAAAAGATGGAGAAAAAAAAAAAAGAAAGAAGGTGGCTACTTCATCTATTTATTGAAGACGTTTCGCTTTCTAATCAGAAAGCATCATCAGTTCATCTAAAAAGAAAAATATGAAAAACCATACAAAGAAAAGTTATTAAGCGTGTTACCCCAAAAAGACATATAGCAGTCAATGATATTAAAATTGTAAAGAAGCTTATGACAATGTACATTAAAAGATTATGTTGTATAAACAATAAATTGAACTAAGTATAGTTAACAATTTTCTCAAACTTAGCACAGCATAAGAACATGTGGTAGTTGTACATGTACCTATATAAAAATTATGTAAAAAAAGTTTTAAAAAAACACAAATAGGAACCATAGCTTTGTACATAAAGGTATTTATTAATGAGAGAAGATGGATAGGAATAGGATGTGTTAGTCTATTTAGCCTACAGCTTAAAGCTTTAATTAGGTTTAATTTATATTTGAAAGGATGACAAGAATGATAGTTTAGAAACCTATTAGAGGCCATCGGTTTCCTATACCAACTTGTGGTTAAGGTGTTATCTCCCATTCTAATGACACGCATGTCTAAGAGGGAATGCTATTTGTGATGGGGTCTTCAAGTTCAACAGTGAACTGTAAATGAGGATCAAACTCATTGAACAAAGACAAGGTGGCCTCTATCTTGTCTGGGGGTAAAGCTAATCATAAGTCGTCAACATACCGTTTAATAAAATTGATTTGGAAATCTAAAAGACCCAAATGGTCAGATACTAAATCATCTAGTACAAAATTTACTAGGATGGGAGAGATTGAGGAACCCATATATGTGCCAAAAATTTGAAGATAATATTTGTCACCAAAGACCAAAAAATTAGTGTCAAATACTAATTGCAACAGTTCTGCAAATACATCCCAGGAAACAGGACAGTTAGGTTAGATGGAATTCCAATGATTTCTTAAGGACGTCATAAAACTGGAAAGAAATATCACATCAAAACTCACTAAAATGTAACCCTGAGGAAGTTCAAAGTTATTAATAAATTCACTAAAGTGAAAAGAATCAACAATATTAAAGTTGTTGTTATAATTATAAGATTTTGATAAGATGTCAGTTAAAAATTTTGAAATATTAATATTAGGTGAATTAATGGATGACACAATATATATTGATGGATGGTAATATGATTGGTGGATATGACACATATCCATCATAATTATGTAAAAAAGTGGTTGATCTATGATCTTTAAGTTTTTTAAGTGAGTTATGAATTTATTTATTTTATTAGTGAATTTAGAGCAAGGGTTGGTAGAGAGGGGTTGGTAATATCTATCATCATCTAACAATGATTGACTGTGACTGAGATATTGATCTTTCTCCATGAGAACAGTGGCATTGCTTTTATCACTAGTAAGAACGAGAAGATTGGGGTGGGTTTTTAAAAACGATACCGTCTCCCTGTAAATCTTGTCTAACTCAGATATGGGTTGTCTAGGGCGATTAGTGAAATTTAACAGAATATTGTTGAAAGAAGACCTAAGAGATAAAAGGTCGTAATTATCAGCATGTGACAAAATATTTTCCACATCTGCTAAGATTCTACTAACAGAGTAATCTCTGAAGGATGGCTGTAAGTCACATTTGGGACCCAAGGATAACAACTTGAGTATGTCCTGAGGAACCTCAATATTCGATAAGTTTTTAATCCACTTATGATTAAATTTAATTTTTTTAAATTGGGGGTTGTCTAAATTATTTAATTTCTTGCGAAGGTGTGCCATGGATTTATGATATATAAAATTAAATTTCTTATGTAAAGATGACTCAAAAGTGTCCAACAAATTGACAGGAAGGTGATCATCAAGGAAAGTAGTGACATTATTAGTTTGAGAATAATAAACTTAATATCAGTGTGAACCTTAGATATATGGAAATTAGGTAATCGTGTCCTCACCTGTAGGTTTATATGTATGTGTATGTATATGAACAAACATGCTCTATTGGATTTATGTCCGGGCTCAAGGCAGGCCAATTTATTGTAGGTATACCGATCTCAGTCAGATAGGTGATGGTGACTCATGTGGTATGGAATCGTGCATTATGGTGCATTAAACTAAAGGCATCATAAATAAATCATGCGTTTAAAACCACATGTTCCACCAAAATGACTCTGATGCAATGATTCGCCGTTAAACCTCCTCCATGTCCTTCACCAGGCACGAAAACCGACTCTATGGAAACCCATCTATGGAAATCCCTGCCCAAAACACACCAGAACAGCCTCCATATGACACAATTTCTCATATACAACATTGAGCAAATCGCTCTCCTAGCCTTCTTTAGACTTAAAGCCTTTTGTCGTTGCCATGTAGGCAAATCCTATTTTCGTCGGAGAATAATACCTGACTCCATTGATAGTCGTTCCAATCCAGATGTCCCCGAACAAATTTTAATCACCTTTGTTTCTGGCCTGCAGGTAATTTGAGACCCGTAGCTGCCCATTTTGGCGTTAAGCTCGCTACCTTCAGTCTCCTTTTGACTGTCCAAGTGCTGGTAACCGTACCTCGGACCTCTCTAAGCTCTTCTTTGAGATTACTACCAGTCAAATGTCGATTTTTCAGCAATTTCTATATAAGAAATCAATCATCGCTCTCCGTTGTTATTCGTTTACGGTCTCGTCCTTGTCGGCGGACATAATCACCAGCATCTTGGTACCGACAATACACTCGGGACATAGCAGATTGGCTTAAATTTAGTCAATTTGGCACGGTCCTCTGGCTCAGGCCTTTATTCAAATATGCTACTGCTTAAGCGGCTTTGACGGATGTGGTATCCATTTGTAATGCAGTTGCGAACTTCAGTGACTGATGTAATAGTGAATTGTTATGCAAATTGAGGCGTATGATGTTAATCTAACGCGTTAAGTCGGTGTTTGTCGATTTCAATGAGTCAAATTCTGACTCCCTCTCTACGTATTGCATTATTTATTTGTAATACGTCATCCGATTCACCAAAAAACAAAACTTTTTTAAAACTCAATAATGAGGTTAATGATTGTACACTAATAAGTTTTAAATGTATACTTTTTAGATTAAAACAGTAGTAGTAATTCCGCAAAATAATTTTGAATCGATTATTTGCACTCAAGTGTATATAAATAAATATATATAAATAAATACAAATATAACTAAATTTTAGTAAACTTGGCAATAGCGTATATAGCATTTCTTCCGTTCACATTGCATGGATAGTGCAGTCAAGTGCAGTGTTGGTCCAGGATCAACCTTACTTTAGTACGTTATGTTTGAATAAGGGTTGTGTATAACATAATATAAATATAATAGTAGTTATAGCAGAGAACTACGAACGCATGTTCGTATGTTCTCTGGTTATAGTAACATAATATTAAAAATGGACACAATTTCCTAGAATATTTACCCTATTCCGCAGAACCTACAAACGAGGAAAGGTGTGTAATTATAAAAGTTGTGGTAAAGTTCGTTTGTGGTAAACCGCTTTTTTGTTTTTTAGTTGTGTTTGATTTATTTATATTAACTCTTGTTGTAGTTATATCTTATCTAATTATATAAATCATTTGTGATCATTTTATTCTAAACTAATGATATCAAAATAAAGAAAGGCAGGAAACGCCTGCTTTTTGTATTCATTCATAAATCAAACATAAATCAAACTGAAAGAGCTAGTTAAATTATGAATAAAAGTTACTAATAATAGTAGTAATCTTTATTAGGCCCTTGCGAATTTATCAAACGTGTTTACAAGAAACATTTTTATTCGAATAAACACTGAGTAAAAATAATATTTACACTTTCTATTTTGAATATTTTACGAAAAAATACTCCTGGTAGAATCCATATAGTTTATAACTTCTTATTAGAAAAAGTATATCTAGAATACAGTCTCGTTAAACATATACGTTGTATTAAACAACTTCTAATTAATGTTTGTTATTTTGGATGCCCAGCCAATCAGCCAAAAAAGGAGTCACTGAACCATTGAATAGTCTGTTGATCTCACTTGTAGCCCTGGTAAAGAAAAAGGATCATCCTTTGCATAGAACAGATGATTTTGAACAAGTTTTATTTATTTCTGTATGTTCGACGTAAATAGTGGATATTGATAAATAATATAAATGATCAAGAGAAAACTGCATTCTAGATAGGATCAGGTTTTTGTTTAACAATTTATGGCTTTTGGTATGTGTAACGGCAAACATTTTCGGTTTATTTTGATAACATAATTGTGGTAATTGAGGCCAAAAGCAGACAAACGTAGTAGAGGAAGACCACTTACACGTTGGGCTGACGCCATCAGGCGTATCACCAAA